TTATATACATTTATAAAAAATAACATTTCTTGATTGATTCATCGTCACATAGCCTGAACTACTGGAAGGGTTAGTCTGATTTTATAAAAGCGAAAATCACCTGGAACTACCTTTTTTATATTCCTAATTCGTGTTATATTGCCCATATTAAGCTGTTGTTAATAAAAAATAGTGCATTTCATGTAATATGTATATTGTGTATTGTAAAATTTTAAAAAATACTGTTGAATAAAATATAGTAAAATATCATAAATTAATATATTATTTTATGGAACAAATAATAAATGTTTGTAAATGATATATTTTTAGTGTTCAAATTAAAATTTAAAAAAATGTTGTTATTTTTTATGACTCAGGAATTGTTAAAAATATTATAAACTACATTAAAAAGAGAAGAAAGTTATTTTTCTAAATAAATGTATCAATTGTATAAATTTAAACTCCAGAAAATATATTATATTATTTTTAAATAAATTCTTAAAAAAAATCCACATTATTACCAATATAGATCATATGTAATTTATATTTTGTATGACATTTTTATTTTCATTAATTTTTTTTTTTTCTGTTTTCAGGTAATATAGCTCTACATTTATTAACAAATAAAACTCGGAAGAATTTTGACTTGGAAACAATATGGAGTATAGGAGATAAGTATGATTCCCATTTGAATGAACCAGCAGATTCCTTGGTCAGCCTATTAAATGAACATTCATTTAGTTTAGACAACTTGGAACCAGTTGATGTTGTAAATTTAAAAAGTATTTAATTTGTTGTACAATTTTTAGTCTAGTAATAAATACAATATCTATTATTTTTTGATTTTATTTGATAATAAATTAAAAAATAATAATAATAACATTTTTGGCAGTATTAGACCTTATAAGACTCAATATCACTTGGTAGGGATCCAGACATATCCAAATACATTAAAACGTTTTTCTACTCTTTTAAGGTTCATTCAGTTACCTAACCTAACCAGTGCCCACTGTAATATTGACTGATAAAATATTTTTCTGAAAAATCAGTAATTTTGTTGAAATATCTTGTAAAATAATTAATTTACATATTCATGTCTGCCGTGGCTTCTGAAAACCTGGAAAAGTCAGTGTATTTGTATACAATTCTGGAATTTTAATTTTAAACTTCAATCTTTATTTTCATAAATATTAATTATTCCTGTTTGAAAACAAATATGTATTATTATTCCCATGTATATTATTTTGTTATGTATTTAATACTAAAACAATTTCAACCATGTTATTGTATTAAATTAAGTTTATTTAAACTATTCAAAATTGGTGTTAAATTTAAAAAAAAAAATGAAAGTAACAATCATATTTTTAATATGTTTTTTGTACACAGCATAAAAAAATAAACATTTTTGTAAAACCAATCAATTTTAAGTGGAGCGAAGGCACTTCTGGTTTTACAATGATGTTAATTTTTTTTATTTCTTTTTCTGTGAACAATTTTTCTACCTGCAATTTTGTTCTTATTTATAATGATAATACTTTTTCTGGAAATAAATCTAACTAGGGTGGTACTTAGTGAGGTTTTTTTTTGATTTTCTCAGGAGTTTTCCCAATAAATAGGAAAAATAAAAAAATAAATACAATATTAGTATACAAATATTATTAAAGAAAATATATAGTGCTTATGTAATTATTTTATCATAATATGACATATATACTGTTGACAAAACATTAGCAATGGTTTATTGTTGCTTACAAATATACATTAAATTACCTATACCAGTCGCTGCATCTGTCCCCATTATCCGAAGACAGCTTTTTACTAATTTTTAATTCGAAATGTATGTTTATGTTACTAATTAAATATTGTTTTCCAGGACAAATTGTTTTTTATGGATATTATATTTTATAATATTTTTAAATGTTGATAATATAAGTATTAAGTATAAGTAATATAAGTAAGTAAGGAATTAGATTAGACTTGTTCATATTTTGGGGTGATATTTTTTCCTTGGTACATCTGTAGAACTCCAGTGGTATATCCATAATAACCACTAACCAAGTGGTGACACCACTATGGAATCATTCAGTTCAGTCAATTATACTTAATTTTTTTAAACACTTAAGTTCAAAGTTGTCAAAAATTATAAAAGTTATTTGTTCTTAACCTTTTAAATTGTTAAAATGACTGTTTAAATTTATAAACAAAACACTGAAGTGTTCCTTACCTCCTAAGTCTTCTAAAAATGAATGGTGGAACATAATCATAACCCCATATTAGTTTAAAGATACCTTAACATTAAGTGAAGCTTAGTTAAGTCAATATTAAATATGAATTAAATGCAAATAAGCATAGGTTGTTTGAAATTCAATTTAGACATTGTTAGGGCATCTTGTCAATTTTTACTGCACAATGTTTTAAAGTTTCAAAAAAAGTATGGTGATACTTTTATCATCAGAAAAAATTAAAAAGATGGCCCAACAATATAATTAATAGTTCATAATTCTGTATAATTAAATACCTAAAGTTTTTTTAAATTTCACAACTTTTAAATCAAAATTTAAAAAAGAGCTGATACTGAGGACAGGTGCAACAACTGTTGTAGGTGGAAAGTTGGGAAGGTAGGATACATAAGGTTATTTCATTTATATCTGTAAGCAATGATAAACCGTAATTGATGAAAGAAGATCCTGAGGGCAGTTCAGTAATAGATACATAATTGAAGTGCCGTAATTCTTTTTAACCTAACCTTCCTACGTTTTTTCGTATGTTATCATACGTTTTATCCACTGGTCAATCATTTCAAACAAAAATCAGCTATAAAAGCATGAACTAGAAATTCAAAAAAAAACAAATCAGACATGCTTCACGCAATGGGTGGGCCACTGTTAGAGGAGTGAAGTTGGGAAGGTAGGATATAGAGGAGGATTTGATGTATAGCTGGACACAACGATAAATCATGGCTTACAAAAAATGATTCTGATCAGAGTTTGGTTACACATGTTTTGGAAAGTCATAATATTTACTATTTTCGTCAAAATGTATTATTAAAATCTTTATAAAAAAATTCTACATTTATGACATCGTACCGGACTGTTATGAATCCATAGAAAAATATTGAGAAGTCCGGACCGATACTGAGTTTTATTAAGTGCCATCATCTAGAAGTGAAAGCATTTTAAAAATATACGGTTATTTTAATTATTTATTACTATTTGAAAATACCTAGTTTTTGTAGTTGCCTAACTTTTGCTCCTTAGAATCGATGACGTCCTGGTCCGTAAAAGAAATCTTAATCAGATCAGATTAATTAATTTAATTAATACATTTTATTTACATCAAATGTAAATGTTTATAACAAAAAAAATTAAAATGTATAATACAACTGTTTTATAATCTATCTATAATGAGTGCGTATTTTTCTTTGGTGCACTTAATTTGAGTCTTCTTTTTTTTTTCTGTCCAAAACGCCACTATTCAATAAAACAAATTAAAAACCAAATGACTCCAAATAAACCACTTGAAACCAGTTTATTTAAAATATTCGAATGAACTGATTATTCATATGAATATAACATATTCGGTATAAAATTGTCTTATCTACATTATGGAAATATAAGGAGGGAATAATCTACATCCTAAAATTCGGGCAGTAATAAATAATAATATAGTTTATTATTATCACCAAATAGTTATTTTGAACTTCAGCTTGTTCATTATTTTTATTAGTTTATTAGATAGTTTTTAGTTGCCGCCGCTGGCTAACATTCGCACGCGCATACATATGTCAGTAGTCGAAAACATTTGAAACATAAAAATTTCATTTTCAGAAGGTTTCTTTGGAAATCGATTTTTGATTTAAAATCTGGTGTGCTTGAAAAAAAATAACATATTTTATCATTACGGATATTTTCGAAAATATCAAAATATTGAAAGTCTTAAAAACTGAAAATTGAAAATCGACTTCCGAGGAAACCTAGAAAGTTTGTCAACAAATGCAAACATATCATAAACATTTAAATCGAACATCAGGAAGTTGGTCTAATTTATTACCGCTTATTGGTCTAAAACGTATGAAAAATAGGTGTGCTCCAACCCACTTAAATAGCGTCACAAGTCACAAACAAGAAATTGTTAACGTGTAAGGCCGTCAATAAGATTTCTCGTGATTGCGTAGCTTTGGCCAACATTAATAATCTCTTATGCAGCCAAAAACTGTTTAGCTGTTTAAGAAACGCACCTAATATCTATTTTGAAGTGATTCCCATTTTCTATGCCAGTACAGTTTATAGGGCGACCATTGAATTGGCTCCCAAGAAACTAAATATTGAACTGTTTCCTAATACAATTTTAACCAAATGGTTCTCAAAATATAAAGTGGTTCTACATAAATATCTAAGTGGGAAAAGTACGAGACTTTAATATTTTTAGTGACACAGTGCCAAATAACTGCTGGGAATTATCTAATCTTTAATTCGATTAGTTATACAATTAAACTACTAATTAACTAATTAATTACGTTAAACGCAGTACTCGCAGTTCATCGCGATTCATCGCAGTTAGTCACAATTTGTCGCAATTCGTCCATCAATAATAGTTATGTAGAAAATTAATTAGATCGAACAAATGAGTTCATTTTAATAGTAAATAATTTTGAATTTTATCTATCATAAAATCTCCTCTCCAATATACATTAATAAGATTCAAATTTACTAAATTTTAACAATTTTGATGATCTATAAACCGTAATATTTTTAATTGTTTTAATATTCAATTAAAGTATTATTTCGAACTATGTTTATAACCAATGGATTTATAAAATAAATGCTCGGAACGCAACGCTCCGAATCTAAAACAATGGTACCTAGTAAATGATGATTAAAAAAAAATAATATACGAGTATATACAATAAAAACTGGTCAAAGTTTATTTCAAAAGAATTGCATCGTCTGTAAGTTTTCGCATACCTACGTTTAGGTAAACAGTATTTAATCATTTCAACAATATATATATGCCATATTATAGTAAAATAATAAGTTAAATAAACTCTATATAATTTCTTTAATAATATTTGTTTAATGTTGTATCGATTTCTCCGGTTTTTTTTTATGTTTTTCGGCAAATGTTTCACATTTGCTTGGAAAAGACCCGAGAAAATCGAAAAATGACTTCTCTAAAGTACCCCTCTAAATTAAAAGCTGTCCTTGGATAATGAGGACGGATGCAGCCACTGTCGTGGGTGGGAAGTTGGGAAGGAAGGATACAGACAGGAATTCAATGTATAACAGTAAGCAACGATTAACCAAAGCTAACGAAAAAACGATTTTGAGCGCAGTTCAGTTGATAGTGATGCTTTGTCAACAGTATATTTATATAATATATCATATTTTGGTAAAATAATTACATATGCATTTATTTATTTATTTATTTGTATAACTTAATTAACACACATTAATAATACAATGACATATAAGTAAAATATATAAGATAAATAAAATAGAATAGTTGATTGATAACATTGATAAATTTGTATACATTAAGGTAACTGAGTTATACTTTAATATGATATCTAAGACTTTAAGCTATTTAATTGCGTTCGCAATAGTTTTATTGAGCTCGGCTAAACCTCCTGGTAATACTCTAATAGAACAATCTTCAACAATGTGGTTAGTAGTTTGGGTTTGGTGTCAGCAGTCGCATTATGGGATGCCCTTAAGCCCCATCGATATAACATACTCACATAGACACCTAGTACCCAGTACGAACATATCCTGTCTTGAATCTGTTTACGAACAAATTTGAGATAATATCAAAATGAACTAAAGATTGGAGAACTAACAGCATTGATAAAAATCATTTTTTTTTTTTTGATCAACCAACAGAGGAATTCCCTAGATTTGAACTCCCCAAGAGACATATATCAGGTGATCCATTTAAGTGGGTAAACTCATTATCTCGTAAAGTATTAACTCTTTCCGGAATTCATTTTCTAGAACAGTTAAGAAACGAGCTGCTCTACAAATTTATATTTACGTCATTTTTTGTTACCCTTAATTTTGAGGGGGAAAACCATTACCTACTTTTGATTTTCAAATGGCGACATATATTAAAAATTCCATAAATAGATTGAATATTAGTTGAAATAAATTTTAGTGTTGAAATTTTTGATTTCTGTCAAGCCGTCTACGAGATATTACACTTTTAAGTTTAAGTTGGAGAAGAGTGATGGAGTATCGTTTGTGTGGCGGTACGGCGCGCGTCGTGTTAATAATGCACCACTATATAAACTACAGAGCTGNTTGTTTCTTAAATATTTTATACAGCAAATTCCGAAAAAAGTTAATATTTTCTGAGATAATGAGTGTATCCACTTAAATGGATCACTCAGTATGCATTAAACATTTTTTTTTTGATAATATTTGATTAAAATTGTACCTGTTTTCCCGTTCTCTTGGTTTTTCTATGTTTTTTCCTGATTTTTCCCATTTATTGGGAAATTATCCTTAGAGTACCTCCCCAGTCCGATTTTCTTTCAGAAAGCCCTCGGAGTAAAATTATTGCTGGTAAAAAAGTTGTCCACAGAAAAAAAAATAAACATCATTGTAAAACTATAAGCTTCTTTGCTCCACTCAAAATCTAAAATAAATGTTATGAATGGTTTTTAATTTTCATCAAAATGAAATATTTCATGCAATCTAATATTTATAAAATATTTTAAAAATATAAGTTTCATCAAATCGTATAACCCTAGTTAAACATTATATAGTTTTAAATAATTTTTCTGAAAATAATACTGTTCTACTATACTATGGAAACAATTTAATGGAATCGTTAACCTATATTACGAGTACATTAAATTGATAAAATTTCACATTTTTCATTTGCAATGCTCGATTAATTATAATAACATAAACGATAAATTCTATTCATAAGTGGATGTCTACATGTCTTGTTTTTTTTTTTTTTTACCTTTACATGATATATAAATATTTTATTTTAACATATTAATAAATATTAAAAATGTTATAGGAACATGACTTGAAATCACAGTGTGGTTTAAGATCAGTTTTCAAAAATAGTCTGTTCAAGAATGCACAAATTTAAAATGTAACGCGTTCGTATACACTACCGACAGTGAACGTGAACGGTTTTTTCTTTTTTAAATGTTGGCTTTCTTAAATGGAATTAAGTATAAATTATAGTTGTACTTACAATTCGTACATAAAATAACGTAGACGTCCTCAAATATAATTTGAGTTTTTAAACCACGTTTTCAAGCCCTGGTATTTAATTTGGTTTATTTACCAGCTATATACAAATTTTAAAAAAAATTCACATAAAATAGTGTAAGTATACGCGGTGTCCACGCGATATTTTACCAAAATATGTACTGGGCAAAACATGTCCAAATACAACAACCACTGAGAAAAAAAAACGTATACAAACTCAAAAATGTTCTTATTATTATCAGATTATTATCTGGTAATACCACGATCTTTCAATTTCATTTTAAATATTTTAGCTTATGGCTTTCCACATTTTTTACTCCTAACATTTTTCGCCCAGATTCGTCCACAGAGAATTCGCAAGTTACCACAATCGAAAATTCGTACAACGGGTTTTTTGTGGACTTTTACGTGGTTTTCCTATCGCCGCAAGACACCGCGTATTAACATTTAGTAATCTTAATAATATTATCTCGAATTTGCTATTTTATTTTTGTTATGTTATATTCGGCGTAATCCGAGCAGGTAGATAATAATTTCCGTGACGAAATCGATCTGCAAAAATTGACACCAGGAGACTCACGATCCTTTAAAATCTAGTCTGTGAATTCTTCCAGTGCCAAGGTTCACAGATCGTTTTAATTATTGTTAATGTTGAGTTTTTTCCGGTCTTCTTGCTGCGCGTGTCACGGGTCGCAAACAAAACAACATTATTTTTCGTGATACATGGTCGTCGTCGCTGATTTTACGAAATATTTTGCTTCGTTGCGATCTGAAAACAAAATATAAATTTCACAAACAACAATAATATAACGGTTGTTATTGAAATATCAGACTATATCATATTAGTCTGCCGGTCTGCGTACAAAATAACGCACGAACTATGATGTCCATATACAGAGTGACTTTTTTTTTTTTTTTTTTTTTTTTTTTTTTTACCACTTTAACAACATTAACCTGCAGTTACCTATATAGCCGATCGGTTATAGTATAGCGATCTCTTCTACGAGCATTTCGAGCAAATTTAATTTCGGTTGTTTTCAGTCGTTATAGTATTATTATGGAATGTTGTGTCGTAATGTCTAATAGTGTTAAACATTGTAATGGTTATAATCATTTTTAAAAATCACGCACTGACCTGACCGGCTTAACTATAACACTATTCCTTCATTGGGTGTTGATTATCAAATCAAAGCCACAGCCGCACATCCACGTATCGTTATTTTTAAGTTTTATCAAACTCGGCTATCGAAAAGAGAATAATATAATAATACAGGTTCGTGATAAAAATGAACACCCTGTATATCATATGTAGTACTGCTGCGTTGTTTATGGAAAATTGATATTTTCAACCAGAATATTGTACATATTGTGTTCGGGTCTCTACAATAATATTATTATTATATGGCGAAAACACTACAATTTAATTATTTTTACGAATATTGCCCGGGATGAAAAAAATGTAAAACGAAAATGAAAACAACTACGCACGCGTGTTTTAATAATTTTTGGGTCGTTGACATTTTATTATAATAAAATAATTATATTATCGAGTCTCGACTATAGGTACCTCTCCACGGTAGTGCTGCACTGCTGTGTATTATGATTGATATAGCGAGTGTCGTGTACTACACGCGCGTATTTATTTGCGCTTTACCGTAGAAGTATAAAAAAAAAAAAATAATAATAATAATAATATCGCATTTTTTTTTTTTTTTATTAAAAACGAAATAAACTATGTGTTATTAAACACAATAGTTCCGTTCCAACATGTAAATGTTCATCGTCAAAATACGCTAAACGCGTCCAAGTAAATCATGAATATTACTATGGGGCAACAAATGGGGCCGCTGGGTGACTAGACGTCCCAAGGACCTCACGTTTCACGTCACACAGGTTCTATCGGGGGGCACGGGTATTTATGTCACTTGGGGCGCACCGGACGCAGTGTGTCTCAGCCATTCGGAGGATACGGCTGAGCACACTGTCTCTGACTATCCAAGCAGTGGCAGGAGTGTCACTCCTGACAACGTACGGGATCTTCTCTGCGGCCCAGCGGACATCCCACGCCGGAACCAAGATCGCGTCAAACATGAAAAACTCACGGCCGCTTCTGCTTGTGGCACTCAGTTTTTCTACTTTGCGGTGAAGGATATCCTGTGCCAAAAGGATCAGGACAAGAGAATTAGGAAATATCACTTGCGAATGCCCCGTAATTATGGCTGCTCATCCGGCCCATGTCTCAACCGGCCGCACGCTACATTATTCGACGACTGATGATGGTTTCTGATTTTCTGGAACAAAATTGTAATTTTCATCATCAAATCCATCTAATTGTATTTATTTTATTTGTAATGCCTATATTTATAAATTTAAAGTGTCTATTTTCAACAATAAGCATATATTTTCTCTATAGGTTTTTTTGTATTTCTAGAAATTACCAAATTACCATATGCAACTTGGAAACTTGGTATATACCAAACAAGCAAACCATATATCTAATTTAAACTATGTACGGCAAATTTCGGTTAATTTAAAATCAATTTGAAGAATTTTACTTATAAATGATAAATGTTGAAAATGGTGAATTCGTTTTTAATTGTTGATTTTATTGTGTAGGTAGAAATATGTTGTATTTTTAAGTTTATGTATTTGATATTTTATCAAATGCCTCCTCCCTTTCCCTTCCCTACGTCACTGTCTCCGATGACTATGATTTCATATTGATTACAAAATCATAATCGTATTTTTGTTGTATGTTATTTGTGAACAATTTCAAAAATTGTTTATCATTTATTTTGAAAATAGATGCCTTATTCCGCGCCCTCTACCACCACATTATATCACTTCACCTTACCAAAATATATGGCGCTGCGGGATTTTTGGCATTTCTTATTAGTTTACATCTATTATTATTATCGTAATGTAAAATTAAAACTTACAAATTAGGTAAGTATACAAAACTAATTAACAATCAAATATGATATTAAAAACTAATGACGAGAATCGAAAATCAATATTAAATTATTACAAACATCAAATGTAGTAAAAAAAAAACTCAGAAAGAACCGAAATACGTTTGCCCATTTTTTTAAAATTGTTCGGCGAAAATTTAATAGTTGTGACTATTACTCCATGGTCGGTATAATTGTTTTCCGAATTTCTCCATTATCAAATAGTTCAAAGATTTTATATTCTCATGTTTCTATGTGATTAAAGTTTCGAATTTAGTCAATAAGGGTTTTGGTTTTCCGTTAAGAACTAAAGTTATGATACTCGGCAGAAAGTTTCGTCCGGATGTGATCGCTAAATCTTAGGTGCAATTGTATAGTTTAATAAAGAATATTACCTTAACGATAAAAATAGCATATACGAAAATTGTAGGTCGGACAGTTTTCAATAAGAAAAATACTGTACATTATTAACGTCAGTTTAATGTATAAACGACAAATGCCAACCGTCGTAAAACGTTGCACCGCATGCCATAATTAATATATTATAATGTCTGGCAACGTTTACCATTACAGACGGAAAATACACGACTAAACCAAACTTATTTTAAATATTGTTATTTTTTATCATTTTTTTTTTTTAATTTACTACTAGTTCTCATATTATTTTCTAATATTGGATCACGGTAGTTACGGAGATTATAGTCATAACTATACGAGTATATTACACACACACATATATATATATATATACGTCACACGACCGTTTGCAGTAAAGTCGTATCGATTTGAAATTTAACCGCTGTCTTAATATAATATGGTACATCATCATAAACAATATGGATAGTTGGATTTCGGCTTTGTTTGCTCGTCGTCAGATAACGACTTACGCACTTATAATATTACCCACCGCGTGTCTCTATACAGTATAATACTATTTTTTCAAAAGTGAAACCGTGTATTCTTTTCTGCCACCTCTCCCACCACCACCCTAACTACTGTACGCAAACCATATAATTACGTCTGCGTTCTGTTTGTTTATATGACGTGATCCTTGAAAGAAAAAAAAACCCACTATGGTTAACTCGTTCACGTCAAGTATAATAATCGTATTCAAATGTTTGTGTACAGGTACACACGGTAGCGATGACGTAAACAATAAGTATAGCGTAATAATATTATATATTGTTTAAAATTATTATAATTTAACGTTTATATAGGAGGTCCCTATAGTGAGCAGGTTCGAGTTATTATATTTCGTTTGTTTCGTTTCGTAACGTGTTTGTATTCCAGTCAAGTTACGAGGAAACTTTTGATTTATCGATTAAAAACTGGCTTTTTGAATCCGGCTTGTAATTTCCACAGTCAAGTTGAGTAGAAAAGAAGGGTCTACGGTTTATTCACGAATATTATTTACGACATCTGCCCCCATTGAAAATTCCTGAGCACGCCGCTGAGCGCGGCGGAAACAATGGGTCGTGTGCGTTCCAAAGTTTACAGGGGCGTATACACGGGGTGGCCAGGGTCCCCTCCTGTTACATTTTTTGTTTGCACAATATGCACAATTGTCTATATAGATTTAAAAACAACTTTCTCACGAGGAAATTGTTTGCCACTGATTCCCCATTCAAAAGTTATATGTATACGCCATTGGAAGGTTACACGCTCACTTTCAAAATACAATTTATTTTATTGCTGCGGTATGCATATTATAGTACACATACACGCACATGTCAAATATAATCAGATACAGTATTATGAAGTATTGTAATAGCAAGATGAGGGCCAAGAGACAATAATTAACATTCGATCAAGTCGAGTTGAATATACGAAATAGTCTTCGGTTGAACAAAAAAACAAGTCACAAAAGGAAACGAAATATTAAATCAGCTCGAAGTGTTTAAAATTATAATAACGAATTTAACGTGCATTTTATTTACGAAAGCATTACCAAGTTAACACACTAACATTGCATAATTACATAATTACCAATATATTCAATATAAATTAAAATTCGCGTTCGAATTTCGAGAAAAAAAAACCCGACCTTATCATCCGCCTTTGATCAGCGCGATTCAAGTACGTACAACAGTAATCGGATGTTTATGAAAATTAACTGTACCAAGTCGAGTTTATAAATGTACAAATACAATGTAATATAATAACAATCTGCAGATACATAGTAGAACAACCGAGCAAATTATAGTCAACGATAAAAATAATCAACCAGTTACAGTTAGTAAAACATATCGAACGCCCCTCCATACGTTTTACTATTTCTTCATCTGCTTGTTGACTTTACGAGCTGACATCATATTTTATACGTGTATGAAGACGAAACAAACTTACAAGCAACGAATAACGGGGACAGCGAATTAAATATATCACGAAAACAAATATATTAGGTACCTGAATATCTCACTGATTTTTTAGGACAATGTATATTGTGGTATTATCGAGTGTATATAAGGAACATTCTTCGCAATACAATACGATTTTAGTTTTTGGTGGTTTTTTTTTTTTTTTTTACACAAAAAATATCAATCGATTATTGGAAAGTCAATAATAAAAAATATTATAAAACCAATTTATTTTTACAATATTGCTAGTTTTTTTTTTTTTTTTACAATAAAGATTCATTTCGAATTCTAAGTGTAGCGATGCGAAACTATATTAGTTTCATTAAGA